GGGAAGGCGTACTCACTCGTTCCTGATGAAGGCGTATTTATTGATGGTTTCGATGACATCTTTGAAGAGGATCTTGGAAGTCAGGGTGTAACCATGGTGCACAATGGGCTCCCCTTCGGGCCCATCCCAGCAGTCCACTATGGGTGGACAGGGCCACAGGTCAGCACCAGCCTCCTCACCAGCCAGAGTGCAGACAGGCCGCGGAGCTGATGGACCCCAACTGAGGACCATCCACCTACCCAGCGATTACACTGCGGGGAGCCCCTGACCGGCTTCTCATGGCCCAGCCCACGGCAAGAGGCTGCCCAGGCCCCAGGGGAGGGCCCGGCAGCCCCTCGAGGTGGCGGCTGCTCACCCTCCACGCAGCGGCAGCCGGCCTGCAGGACCCGGGCGTACATGTCCACGCGGGACTGGGACATGAGCTGGTCACCCACGAGGTAGGTGTTGTGGGATGAGGTGATGAAGTAGTGGCTCAGCGGGAGGCTCATGTCCTGGTGCACGCTGTGGTGGGCCGGGTTGAAGATGTCTCCTGCCGGGCTTCGAGTGTAGTTGGTGAAGCCTGCCAAAGGTGGGGGAGGGTGGTCAGTCCTGTGTGTGGTCAGTCCCGGACTGGTCGAGCAGGGGCCTCAGATCAGAGCCACCCACCCTACCCACCGCATGGGGGCCACTAGGTCTGGCCACTGCCTCGTGACCAGCTCGTGTTGGGGCCCATGGTCCCGGGACAGTGGACACTCATGCCCAGCCCCCACTCACCATCAATTCCCAGCACTCCTTTGCTCTTGTTGTCCGGGCAGGGTTCAAACTGCTCGATGATGTCCCGGCAGCCCTCAAGGGTCACGCCTGTCATCTGGGCAGATGGAGGGAGGGAGGCAGGCTGCATCACAACTCTCCCGGACTAACCTCCGGCAGCACCTGACCCTCCCCATGGCCACTGTCCCCCATCTTCTGATCATCCAGCAGACTCAGAGGCCAGCAGAGGATGGATGGGGGATGGGGTGCAGAGAGCCAGGCTGAGTCCTAGCCTTGGGGAATGCTGGGGGCATAAGGAGGCCCCTGTTTTCTACCCCAGGTCTACCCACAGGTGCTCGTGATGCCGCCAAGGCCAGAAACCCAGGTTTCTGGTGGCAGGAATGTGTACCCCAGGGGATGAGGGCAGGGGACGTGGTGTCCTGAGGTTGGCATGACCACCAGATCATCCATGGGCAGGCAGGGGCAGGCTACGGCGAGGGCTGTTTGGAAGGGAACCTTCCCCGGGTTCCGGTGGGGGTCCAATGCCTGGGAGGGGTGGGGCTGACCTTAACCAGGATCTTGCCCTTGAGCATCTCTGGAGAGGGAAGCTGGGTGAAGTCCTCTCCGCTCACGGACGACAGGTCCAGCTTGTCCCCGAGGATGTCAGTCAGGTACTGGGCCATCTTCTTCTGCTGGACAACACTGCAGTGGTTCTCGATGGACAGAATCACCGGGTACCTGTGGCCCAACGGCAGAGGAAGCTGAGCGATGCATGACTGACCTGGGAGAGGCTCTTCCTTGAGAGGCCTGTACCGACGGGGCTGCCAATGCCTGGAGGAAGGGGCCTCCAGTAACTGAAAACCCACTGAGTGGGCGGGAAAGGGGCTGGCAGACCCGGGCACGTGGGCAGAAGATGCACATTTCATCTCTCAGTAAGAAAAAAGAAAGGCAATTAATAATGCCAGAAAAACAAAAGGCAACCCCAGAGAAATCCACGTTTGGAAACCACGCAGTCAAGGAACTACATGGAGCAATAGACAGCCGGTGAGAGAGATGGCCCTTTGGCTTACACAGGGGACACTGCCCTTGGACGGTTTGTGGTCCCAACATGGGCCCCATGAGGACATAAGCCTAACACAAAACATCATCTGGGGGGGTGCGGCTGTTACCTGCAGGTGTAGAATGGGGAGTGGACTGTGGGACTTTACATGATGAGCTCCTCACTTTGTTTGTTCTCAAACCATGCACACGATCCTAAGTTTTACCCCCAGACAACCATGGTTCTTTTACAGAGCATGACCTCAACAGAGAGGGCGCGAGCCTGAGCAAGGGTCGGGGGAGTGCTGTCACAGGAGGAGTGGGGGGGGGCAAGCTTGGAGCATAAGTATGCTTCCCATCCTCCACTGCCCAGGCTAGAGACTGAGCCCTGGAGCTCCAGGCCTTGTGGGGAGACCAGAAGCCCACAAGGATGATGTGGGCATGTCTGTCTGGAGACTGCAGCTGGACCTGGTTCCTTGACTGCAGGATGCCCCTGCCCCAAACTATCCTCCCCCCATCCCTCCTGGCAGCTGAGACAGCCCAGGCTGCCCCTCCGGGAGGGACGCTGCCAGGATGGCCTTAATCAACCCGCCTCTCCTCCTGTCCTATTCGATTAGCTCCTGACTCGACGTCAACCCTGGCTTAATGGAGACCTGAAGGTAGCTCTCTAAGTAAAGGGGATGGTCTTCAATTTCCAGAACCTAAATTGAATTTCGTGCGACGGTGTCTGTAGCCACAGCTGAGTGACAGCAAATTGAGTTCGGATGCTTCTTGGGGATAATTAGGACCAAAGCCAGGCGGGC